AGCTGAGGCTGTGATCAACTATTTGCACTGTTCTCTCTTTTTTAAATATAATTCAAGTCAATAATATATGTTTCCTATTTTCAAAGTATTTTATGTACAATAATTACATTTACACGTCTCACTTGAAGCTCTAGGTCTCTAACCCCTACAAACATTATGCTTCCTTACCTTTACTTATGTGAAATAAAGAGAATACTTTGATATCTGAATCTATTTCTCATAGGTCTAAGTGGAATTGGCTTTTCATATAATTACACTTGATCTGGCACCTTAAGATGTTTTCATAGTTTCATTTTTAAACAGTGTCTTGTATCAGTTACCAACTCTCTCAGGATCTAAGAATTTCCATACTTTGCTGCCGTGTGAAGATTGTGTCATTAAAGATAAGTGCTGTAGAAAGTTGTGAATAAGTTTCAAATTCTAGATAATTGAACACAGTAGCCCTTGAAATCTTCACTACAATACAGTATTCATATAAATAATGTGCATTTGGAGATTGGCCATCCCTGGATTTGTGCTGGAAATGGCCCACCTTGATTATCATACACATTGTAAGGTGAGTGGTCACTTTAGATAAGCTATTACCAAGAGGAGAGTGGGTTTATGTGTGTGTGTGGGGGGGGGGGGGGGGGGGAGAGAGAAAACCTGGATTTGTGCTGGAAATGGCCCAACTTGATTATCATACACATTGTAAGGAGAGTGATCACTTTAGATAAGCTATTACCAGCAAGAGAGTGGGGTGGGGGGAGGTATTTTTTCATGCTTTGTTTGTATAAAAAGATCTTCTACACTTTCCAGAGTATGCATCCGATGAAGTGAGCTGTAGCTCACGAAAGCTTATGCTCAAATAAATTGGTTAGTCTCTGAGGTGCCACAAGTACTTCTTTTCTTTTTGCGAATACAGACTAACACAGCTGTTACCCTGAAAGACTCAAAATTAAAACCTTCAAGAGTTGTTTACGCTATACTAGTGTCAATGGGAGTTTCTGATCAAGGGCCTCAGAATCTGGTTCATATAGAATAACAAAATATTTACATATAGCACATCTCATCCTCATGCTATTCAAAATTTAGAGAACACTGAATATACTGTATAATATGAACCAGTTAAATCACAAGATGAACTAACCTCTGGACTAGCCTGTGACAGATTTAACAGTGCCTAGACACTCTGCGGGTGATTTAGGACAGAAAGTAAATAAGAAAATGGTTTGTCCAGTGAAACTACAGGGAGAATGTAGTAGAGGAATAATGTAAACTTTGAAACTGGAATCTTTCTTAGGTTTTTGTGGCTATTCATCCTATCCTTGTGAAAAGTATCAGTGTCACTTTAATAACCATAACTAGTCATGACCTCATTTTTATGTCCTAATTCTCCAGCAACATGCACAATCTAGGAAATTGTTCCTGGGAAACAGTGGGAAATTGTGAATTTGAGTAAAAAGAAATCACCAACACTTATCAAACGATGATTTTAAAATTATTTAGTACTCCTTGGACTGTTCCAGTATGCGGTACTGCCAACCCCAAATGCTGAAAAATCATGAGTTGGGTCTCAATTAATTCTGAATTGTAAATGTACATAAATTATGGAGAACCCTTCACCTTCTTGCTTACCTTTTAGACATATTTTCGATCACTTCTCCCTGGCCATGAGGGCTAGCCACTTACTTTTTGTTTTAAATGAAAGCAGAAATTCTCATATAATCAGATGAATCCAGGAGCTGGAGGCTTAGGAACAACATCAAATATTGCAAGACTTGCAATAAAATTAGGTGAGCTACACTACATTGTATTAAGTGTTCTGTTACTCTAGGAAGGTCCTATGAAAGGACTTAAACAGTGGATAGGCTTCATGCTGCCCCTCTTTACTGGGCCAAATGTTATCCTAGTGCAAATAGCCAATAGTTCAGTCAGTTGCTCTTGCGGCTGTTTCCATGTGCCTTTTCATCATCTACTTCCTCCTCTGAGAGAAAATGGGGAGAGAGCCTCTCCTTTGCTTCCTACTATGAGATGACAGTCTGCAGCAGAAAGATTCCTTGCAAACATTGTCAGCTGTTCATGCTCTTTTATACACCACCTCTTACTACAGAAAAAGTAAGCTTTGGAGGGGTACGATATAACAACTGTGTAGGACAGCAGAGCCCACACCGGTAGTGAGAATGTTGTGCAGGGAGATCCCTACAAGGATGAAAATCCCAAAGCCCTCTCTTCCCTCCCCACATACAAGTGGGAGCTGTGGATTGGGTGAAAGGACAGGGGAGCAGGGACTGTTTAGGTTTAAACCTAATTTTTGAAGTTATGGTGGATAGGAATAGTTTTCTGGGGAGGCGTAACCCTAATTATATCCTGTATCTAATGATTCCTTCTCATTGTGCTGGCAATTGTACAAATACCAAGTGAAAGACAGTGATGCTTTGATCATGCCCCTCACTTACATAAATCTGAATTTCAGTTATTTGCTCTTCAGGGCAGGATCTATGTCTTTTTTGTTTATGAGACACCCAGCACATTTTAGGACATTCAAAAATAATAACTACACACACTTTATGATACTTAGCTTTGAATATCTGGGGAGATCATCACTTGGGGTTCTAGGATAGGCTGTATTACCTTTATGCTTCTGTGGATAGAGAGCCTTTAAAAAAATATCAAATCCAAGTTACTTAGCATATCCTCCTCCACATTCTTACATATCCATTTATTACATAGCAGGGTAGGTTAAATGCAGGTCTCATGTGTCCACTTTATGTGATTTACAGCCACATAATTTAATGGATCAACAGGACTAGTAATAACTATTTTGTATATGTTTTATGTCAAAAGTGAATAGCTACAAGACTCATACTGTTCTTCAAGCAGCAGCCACAGTTAAAAAAAAAATCAATGCAGCCATTTTGCAGACTGATATAATGTGCTCGTTCTTTCTTTCTTCTCTTCATTCTTTTAAGAAGCAATCAGCTACAAATTAAACCAACATGTCAGCAGATAGAGATTAGAATACAAAGCTATCTGATGGAAACAATTTAGCCTTTGGACTGAGACTTTTGTTCATTAGAAAACAAGAAGGACTGTATAATAATACAGTCACTAGAGCTAGTAGAAAATTTTCAGCCCAAATTACTACTGTTTCTATTAAGTGCTTTTTTGATCAATCTTTTTTGTTAACATTTTAATTTAGTCAGAATATTTTATTTTTGATGAAAAAAATGAGCCACAATTTGTAAATAGAGTAATAACCAGTATTTGCATGCAGATTTTGGATAGATATCCAACTACCTTCACGTATTCATAGATTTTTAAGGCCACATGGGAACATTAGATTATCAGGTTTGACCTCCTGTATATCACTGTATAACAGTCCATAGAATGTCAGTTATCCCTTTATTATTCCAAATACATTGAGCTAATAGCACATGTAAAGATTGGCACACAGAATTGTTTGTTTATACAAGCTATAAACTTAGTCTAACGGATTTATGAGCTTATCCTGAGACGTTCTGAACATGCTTTCTCCCATTATAGTCAATGAATTGCAGGTACTTGGAACTCCTCAAGATCAGGCCCTTATGGACCAAGTTGATGTTACTGTAACGGTGCTTACTCGGGGTAGCACCCTGCCTTCCTCTAGTTGTGGCTAGGCCAGCTAGAGATTGATGGGCTTGCTACAGCATTGGCTAAGATGTACGTCTTTTAGCTCACAAAGTAAAGACTCATACATTAAACTCAAGAGGTCCCAGGTTTGATCCCCACTGCCAGTGTTCCTGTGTGGGCCAGTGTTACACTACTTTGAAAGGTGTCAGAGTAGCAGCCATGTTAGTCTGTATTCGCAAAAAGAAAAGGAGGACTTGTGGCACCTTAGAGACTAACAAATTTATTTGAGCATAAGCTTTAGTGAGCTACAGCTTCATGCATCTGATGAAGTGAGCTGTAGTTCACGAAAACTTATGCTCAAATAAATTTGTTAGTCTCTAAGGTGCCACAAGTACTCCTTTTCTTTTTGCGACTACTTTGAAAGTATGTCCCACTGTGTCAAGCTCAAGGGCAATTTCAAAGTAAATTTCACACTTTCTTGTGGAAAAAGACAAATGCATTCCTTTGTGAAGAATAGTATGCTATAATTCACTTATTTTTTCCTGCTGCTATAAATCATATTATCTCAGATGATATATCAAAAAATGTGATATATTGGGGGGGTGGAATGGGATGAACTGAGCTTAGGTGTATACACAAGGCATATTCACATAAAACAAATCTTTTTTATGAATCTGTGAATGTTACAGCTAGTCAGAACAGGAGACTGCTCCAGCTAACTTCATAAGCACAAACAACCTTCTTCTTTCCACTGAGTCTCATTCAAGATTAAATTATCTCAAACCTGATTAATTTAGCACTTATGTTTCCACATTCAGGAAGATACTTATTTGATCTACAGCCTTTGATTTGGTATTTTAAAGAAACTTTCTTCTTTTAATTACTCACCATCAGTGGGAAAGTAAGGATTGCAGGCTAATTTGTACTTTTAGTGGCAGTTCTTAACAAGGAGTGACGTGTGAACTGCATCACTTCAGGAGTGTTTCCAGGATGCATGGTCATTCTGACATTTCTCCTGAGACCCAGTTCCCTTCCTGCTTTCCAGAGGTGGAGAGAATAATTTGCTCTGGCTGACACCAGTGTTAATAGCTGTTAGCAAATATTAACCCTTTTAGTCCTTTTCTTTTTTATACTAGATTCATATATCAACTCTTCTTTAAAATCTTTATGATAATTACAAAGAGTATGTTGAATTGTTTCCCCTGTGGGTCCAGGGACAGAATAGGCCCACTGCTCCTCCTGCATGTCGTAAGAGGTGTCTAAAAGGGGACCGCCTGGAGAGGGATGGTCTCTGCCAGGTTAGAAATTTGCCCAAGACACACCATGTGGTGAACAGGTCAACGATGTCCATACCGGATTGATCGCAGCCCAGGTTAATAATGACCGCGCCATCTGTCTCTCACCAGGATAGATACGACAAGTATACTACTGGTGTAACCCCAACAAAGAAGATCCGTGGAAGAGATAACATCACCATAGCCACATGGAATGTAAGGACCTGGGACAAATGGGCAGGTTGAAAGAACTCACATATGAAAAGGAACAATACACCTAGCACCTCCTACGAATCTCTGAGGTCAGATGGAAGAACTTTGGAGAAGTACTAATGGAAGAAGGCCATGTACTTTATTACAGTGGAGAGGACACACATGTCAACAGCGTAGGATTTCTTGTGCATAAAGACATCAAGAATTCAGTATTAGGATGCCACCCAATGTCCAGCAGGCTTATTTCCATCCTTCTAAAGGCAGTACCGTTTAATATCACAGTGGTACAAGTCTACGCCCCTACAACAGACTATGATGATGAGCAAATTTTGAAGATTTTTACAGTCAGCTCCCAGACATCATCGATAAGGTACACAAGAAAGATATCTTGATTGTATAAGGAGATTGGGACACTAAAGTGGGTACTGATGCACAGGCAGATTGGTGAGATTATTGTGGCCCTTTCTGTAATGAGGTAACCAATGAGAAAAGATTGAGTCGTTTGGAGTTTGCCAGCTATAATAATCTGGTTCTTGCAAACACATTAGGAGCACATAAAGCATCCAGACGATAAACATGACACACACCTAATGATCTACATCACAGCCAGATTGACTACATCATGGTGCAAAACCAATTTCATTCTGGGATTAACAGAGCTAAAACAAGGAGGTGATGACAAACAAACATGATGGAATCAGCTCACATATCACTGTCAGTGGACAAGAGCTGGAGACAGTGAAACAGTTCAAGTATTTGGGGGCAATCATCACTGATGAAGGATCCAAGGCAGAAATTGGGGCAAAAACTGTGCAAACAACAGCAGCAATGTGGAGGAAAAGCCAATGTGGAGGAATAAGAACATCTCTCTAGAATCCAAACTGAAAATGCTGCATGAATTGGTCATCTCCATTTTTCTGTATGTGTGCGAGACATGGACCCTTAAGCCAGAACTTGAACAGAAAATACAGGTAGTAGAGATGAGATACTTCTGTAAAATCTTGAGCATCTCCTACTTCGACCACATCACTAATGAAGAGGTCTGCAATATCATCACCCAATGCTTTGGATCATATGAAGACCTCCTGATGACCGTGAAGAAGTGCAAGCTGAAGTGGTATGGCCATGTAACAAGATCATCTGTCCTATCCAAGATCATCCCCCAAGGAACAGTACAGGGGAAGAGAAGAAGAGATGAGATGGATTGACATCAATAAAGAGTGGACAGGAATGGACTTTGTGGAGACTCAAGCACTGATTCACAATCATCAGGGGTGGAGACAATTGGTTGATTGCTCATCAATGATGGTGTCCCAATGACCAATGCAGTTATGGGAGTGATGGTGATGATGATGTTGAATTATAAAGCCAGAGCAGTGGTCCTTGATTGATAAGTAACAGTATTGAGGGAATTCTGTGTGTTAGACTGTACCGAATAATACCCACTGTCTCCATGTCTATGGAATGCTAGATAGTCTTGGAAACCATCCCCTATATTATATATATATAGGGGACGGTTTGGTTTACAAGACCATTATATATATATATATAGATAGATAGATAGATATAGATATAGATATAGATATAGATATAGATATATATAGATAGATAGATAGATAGATAAACCTGGAAAACTGATAAGAGATGATTGTTAAAGCAGATATTTCCTATTGGGGAATCAACAGGAAAGAATGATTATATGGGAAGAAAGACCCACTGAAAGATATTATCTTGAAGAATTGTTACTCGTCTCAACTATAAATAATGATGTCTTCACACATAAATTAGGTAAACTGAGAATATAGAGAAATGACATCAAAACATATGTTCCCTTTGGCAAAGAGGTTTCTTTGTTTAAAAACCATATATAATGACACTGGGCATTAGAACTTAGTTGGGGAATGAAACTGCTGCATGCCACCAGTTAAAGTGAAGAAGAGAACCAGATCTTTATTACATCAAGAAGATAAAGTGTGTATTCTTTCTGTATTCCATATAGTGCTGTACTAATCCCTGATTGATAATCCTTGATTGATTAATTCCAACTGAGCCTGTTATTTGACAATCTCGAACCAGCATTGACATAGACACACAACACAAGGGTCAAATAATGGCAACCCCCATGCTGATTCAGCTGTGCTGTTGGGTATGTTGTGGGGGCTAAAATCAAGGCTCCACATATTTCCTATTCACCTGCTACAAAGTTAGGAGCAGTGAGCATGCTGCATCTACTTACCTCTGCATGCCTGGACCTAATATACTCCCAAGTATCCCATATGGAGGCATGGGGAGGCAGGGTTCTCACTCAGCATTACTTCTCTGCACAGGTGTAGTCCAAGTCACAATTTAGCTTTAAAAATTAAAACATTTCAAGCCAGATCCTCAGATGAACTAAATTGATGCAGCTCCAATTTATACCATCTGAGGAAAGACCATTAGTACATTGGGCACATTTATTTATTGTCATATTAACCACAAAGATCACACAGTGACACTTAAATTTATGCTTTTTAATTGATGAAATTTAGACAAGACTTTGTGATCCTGTGTACAGGATATTTTGTAATTTATATAAATAAGCCAGCGTGTTAAATAATTCATAGCAAAACAAAACACTTATCAAGACTAATCATGTCAATGTAAAAGAAACTTAGATAAAAAGGTCTCATGTGGCAGCTGCCTAGGTGATCATTCTCTATATGCTGGTAATGTCTGATGTTTTGGAGTGAAACATATATATGCCTTATACCTCCAGGTGTGCTACAATTCTAACTCTAGAATTCTCCTCACAGACTTAAAAGGTGCTGTCACTTATTTTCCTAGACTATTGGATAGCATTTCTGGGCAGTGTGAAACCCCAGCCCTCACTCCAGATACTGATCCTTAGGAAATGCCCTTTGCCAAGATTGCCAAGATTTGAACTGAGTTTCCATGGATAAAAAGCCTGTTCTGGAGCCGCCTTCTCTAAGCTTTAGATGGTATCAGAGACTTAGGGAGCTTTGTGTTACCACCTGCAAAAATGACTCATAACTAATAAAATCCAGTAGTGAGCTAGAGTAACCAACATTGGTAGAGATTATCAGTGCCTCCCATTAGAAAGGCAGCATGCCAGCAGGTTGAAGATTCAATTGGTTTATTGAGAACATGTCAGATAACTTGGCTCAATTAGTATATTAAACACAGAGTAATCAGCACACACATACATTACAAATCTCTGGGAAACTGTCTTGCAGCAGCTCAGTCTGTCCCAAAATTATTACCCTACTTATTTACAGCAGATGGAAAATTCCTCAAATTCCACTATCATTAGCACAAGGCTTTCTTCATTCTTTTTTCTTATCTAGTTTCATACCTGTTTTTCAGAATACACAGACCATCTTCACCAATTATTCCTAGAACATACAACTTGTCTCCAACAGTTCCTATACGTAATAGTAGGTAAACTGTGTATGACTCCTGTTCTTTGTACATTTCCACTACAAGTTTAGCATGAATGCAAAACATGCTGGGAGTACAGTTCATAGTGTTACAATTTATCATAAGCATAAAGTCTTCTAAAAATATGATACTGGCTAACAAGCATCATGTTGGAAACCAAATTTAAAATGTAAAACTTTCACCAGATGATCACCTGGTCTCTAATCTTCCATTTTAAGGAAAATGATTGAAGGGATGTCAAAGCAACTCTGTCAAAAATGGAGCCTTCAGAGGTTGAACCTGGTCAATCTGGTTTTAGGTCTAGGTGTAGGACACAGAAATTTCACTAGTTTTGTTTGTCAGTGGTCTGTTGGTATTATACAATATCCAAGTGTCCATGTGGTCTATCATCTGCCCTTGTTAACATTGACCATGAGGTGTTGCTGACAAAATAGCAGACTCTGGGAAGAATGAATGGAGTTGCTCTTGAACAGCACTTTCCCCTTTTTTGCTAAGAGGACCAATAAAATGTTAAGCAATTGTTTCTTCATCAAGGTCTCTCTTATATTGCTTCTAGAACAGACCAGCAATTTTCCACAGGAATAATTTTCCAACAGAAAACACATTTTCGCAAAATTTTATTTTTCTACAGGAAAACTTCAATTTTGCCTATTTTTTTTGCATTGGGAAATTGAAAGGACGACTCCCCATCTGGAAGGTTCTTGTCACCGTCACTTTAACAAAAATGTTCTGCCCTAAATTGGGATGAAATTTGTTGCCAAAACCTCACATTTCCACAGAACATTAATTTGTTTTCTGGCCAATTCTAGTTGCTTATTTCAAGGTGACATTTCCATTTAATTAGATAACTCATGCAGTTGATCTGATCTTCCAATGTCTGGCAAGGGTTAAAAAACAACTTGAAGAAAGGAAGGAGTATATATCATTCCCCTCAGTTGGTGTCAGGGGATCTGCCTTCCTTTCATTACTCAAGTTCACATTCTGGGAACCTTGTGGTTCTGGGAACCTTGTGGGGTGTTCAGTTAGCAACGATAGCTAAGAATGCTTTTTTGTCATTTTTGCTTGGACAACAGGCTGAAGCCTTTTCTTTTAGATAAGGGCCTCACCACAGTTATCTGTGTCTTTGTCATCTTGGGACTGGATTACTATGGTGCACTCTGCATTAGGCCACCCTCTATGACCAATCAGAAACTGCAGCTATAGTAGAATGTAGGAACCAGTTTAAGGGGTATTTCTTACAGGGAGAACAACACACCTAAGTTCCTTGAGAAATCACTTCACCCAATTAACATAACAAAGTGGTGACAGGGTCATAATGCTTGAACATGCACAAAAATGTAATTAGTTAGAGGTTTAAGGCTTTTGATAAATAATGATAGTTTATAGCTAGAAATCCAAAATGGCGACCACAATAATTTTATATTAGAGACATCAAAATGAAAGACTTCGACTAAATTGACCAACAGCAGACAGGAGACTGGGGTGAAATAAAGTTCAGCAGAGTAGGGCTGAGCTCACTCCAAAAAACTTGAAGGGAGGGGTCAAGAGGAGGTTCCCAGCTAGGTCTAGCTTGAATGAAAGGTAAAGCTGATTGGTTAAGTAGGTCTCACCCCACAGGGACGATCCATGCTAATAGCTGGAATTGAGAAAGCAACCAATCAGAGAAGGCCAAAAATAATATATACAGCAGAAAGCTGACAGGCTTGGGTGTGGATATGTGAGTGGAGAAGAGCAAGTAGTAGCAAAGTGAGAAGACAGCAGCAGGAGAAGAGCAAGAATGAAGAAGCAGCAGCAATGGCAGAGCAGAAATCACTATCTGAAAGAACAGAAGGACCCTTAAAATGGTAGAGGGGGATTATAAAGCAGGAAAGTAAGTATATACTTCATTTTTAATTATAAGGAATGCATGAATATGATTCTAAATAATGCTGGATGTCTGCATTTGACTGGATTTGTACCCTACTCATTCTATGACTGATTAAGCATCACTCATAGAATGTTAATATTTAATGTTCTTTAATTGTAATGTTGCATTTTACATATGTATAGGAAACCTGTTTACATTGTGATAGATTTAATTGCATGATATTAAGGTTTTATACATTGGTTTAAGGGGTTCACTGTGTACTATATCATGCAACATTGCATCCACTATATGGTCTGTATAGTCTATTGCGTTGTCTTAGTATATGATTTCTAAATGCAATGCAATTGTGCTATGCTGTGTGTCCTGTATTACAATGTATTCTTTCTTGATTATTAAGAGTAATGTAACTGCTTATTTTCTTTGAATAAATGTTATTTTGTTTTCAAAGAATTACTGCTTGAGTGTCAATCTTTTGAGCGAAGGGTTGTATCCATATCTTCTCATGGTTAACAGAATTCGTCTGTTCTGGGGAGTCCTCTGAGGGTCAGAGACCAACTCCCTGGTAAAACCCAGGAAATTCCTTTAGGACGGGTCATATCCTGTTACCCACTGAAGTGCGCCAAATTAGCAATTGGTTTACAATTATAGACAGGCCACTATTGGGGTGCCTTGGGTCCAAATTTTGGGGTAACAATAGCATTTTTTAAATCAGGTCTATTCATAAACCTGGTGCATGTACATCATAAATTGAAATAAAATATTCAAAATGAAAGCAATTTTTTTTTACAAATAATGCAGTTTCAACTGGTATGTACATATTACTAATGCCCTATATTAGCCACCCAGGTTACTTGAATCCTCAGGTGAATTTATAATTAACCTTTTCGCTTAATCAAATATTTTGGGGGATTTTCTTTTCTTACATATATCACTAAGAACATGTGGTTTATGTCAGTGTATAGATGCACCTTTTCTAAAAGCTGGAAGCAGTGCAGCCATGAATATATTTCACCCTAATAACTGAAACCCTAATCATATGTTTTTTCTCTTTTACTGGTAGGTCACAGTCCTAGGTGAAACTTAACAATGCAGAATCAATTTAGCAGCTTATTCATTTATATTCATTTTCATTTCTGTAATGTGTCAAATATTGGTTATTTCTCAAATGTGAGGTTAGCTGGAAAGAACACAAAAGGAGACAAATGAACTCAAGCTGGAGTCTAC